GCTCCACAAATATCCCCATCTTCAATAATGGAAGAGACCAGCACATCAGTGCAAAAGATAAAGCATCTCAGATCTAGCTTGGCCTCCTCCACTGGTCCCCAAAATTACGGATACCAGTCTTCAGCCAATTCGATTTATGCCATGTTTATATCAAGAATTGTTTGGAGGTACTGGATATTGAAAAGGCTACAAGCCCTGACAATGCTCCAGCAATAGTACTGAAGATTTGTGCTCCAGAATTTGTCACTCTCCTAACAAGCTCTTCCAGTACAGTTACAAATCTGGCATCTTCCCAACAATGTAGCAAATTGCTCCTGTACACAAAAAGCAGGACAAATCCAACCTGGTCAATCACTGCCCCGTCAGTTTACTCCTAATCAACAGTAAAGTGATGGAACTTGTCATCAATAGTGCTATCAAGCAGCACCTGCTCACTGATATTCAGTTTGGTTTCTGCCAGGGCCACTCAGCTCCTGACCTCATTACAGCCTTGGTTCAAACATGGATAAAAGAGCTGAATTCCAGAGGTGAGGTGAGAATGACAGCCCTTTACATCAAGGCTGCAACTGACCTGAGTGTGGCATCATGGAGTCTGAGCAAAACTGAAATCAATAGATATGCGGGGCAAACTCCTCGGTGGTTGGAGTCATACCTGGCACAGAGGAAAATGGCTGTGGTTGTTGGGGCTCAATCACCTCAGCTCCAGGACATCTTTGCAACAGATTCCCAAGGTAGTGTGCTACATCCAACCATCTTCAGCTGCTTGATCAACGTCCTTCCCTCCATCCTAAGGTCAGAAGTGGGGATGTTTGCCAATGTTCAGCACCATTTGCGACTCCTCAGATACTGAAGCAGTCCATGTTCAAATGCAACAAGATCTACAATAACCAGGCTTGGTCTGACAAGTGGCAAGTAACTCTATGCCACACAAATGCCAGGTAATGACCATCTTCAGTAAGTGATGATCTAACACTGTCCCTTGCCATTCAGTGATGTTACCGTCACTGAATCGCCCATTATCAACATATTTGGGGTTACCATTGACTAGAAACTCAACTGAGCTCACCACATAAAGACAGTGGCTACAAGAAAAGTCAGAGGCTAGGAGTACTGTGGAGAATAATTTACTTCCGGACTCCTCAAATACTGTCCATCATCTACAAAGCTAAAGTCAGGAGTGAGGAGGAATACTTCCCACTTGCCTGAAAGGATACAGCTCCTCCGACACCTGTGAAGCTTGACACCATCTAGGATAAATCAGCCCACTTGATTGGCACTACATCCCCAAGCATCAACCATCAATGCCCAGGAGCAGCAGTGTGTACTATCTACAAGATGCCCAACGGAAATTCACTGAAGATCCTTAGACAGCACCTTCCAAACCCAGGACCACTTCCACCTATAAGGACATGGCAGCAGATACATGGGAATACCACCACCTGTAAATTATCCTCCAATCCACTTATCATCCTGACTTGGAAATATATCTTCATTCCGTCACTGTCACTGCATCAAAATCCTGGAAATCCCTCCCTAAAAGCATTGTGGGTTAACCTACAACACGTGGCCTGCAGCAGGCCAAGAAAGCAACTCACCACCACCTTCTCAAGGGAAACTAGGCAAGGGCAATAAATGCTGGCCAGCCAGTGACACCCATGTTCCATGAGTGAATAAAAAAAAGCCAACAAATTTTCAACTGCCTATGGTCCCCATTATCAGCTTTTTTCTCCTTCCCTGGCTTACCATTATCCAACCCTTTGTTTGCCTAATGGTTGTTCTCTCTCTGGGTTCCACCTTCATTTATTGTGTAATCCTTTACCCCACCCACCTCCTATCTTGAGCATATATGCGTTTTCCTCGCTACAACTAGTTCCAATGAAGGGTCACGGGACCATGTTGACTCTGCTTTCTCTCCACAGATGCTGCCAGGCCTACTGAGTTTCTCCAGTAATTTTTGTTTCTCTTTCTTACTTGTATGCTCACTTGTTATATCTCAGCTGGAATATTGTGTACAGCTGTGGGTGCAGGAAAGGTGTCAATGCATTGGAGGGACTGCAGAAGTGATTTGCAAGAATGGTTTGAGGAATGAAAAATTTCAGTTATGAGGATAGATTAGGAATTTGAGACTGTCCTCCTTGAAAAGAAGAAGGCTGAGAGGATATTTGATACAGGTTTAGGAAATGACTAGCAAACTGGAAAGAGGCAGAAGCAGTTCCTGCTCATAAAAGGAACACAGACGAGAGGACATAGATTTAAAGTGATGTGCAAAAGAATCAAAAGTAATGTATTTTTGCACAGTGAGTGGTTGGAGATTGGAAGGCAGTGTGGTGGAGGCAGTTCAATAAAGACATTCATTAGGGCTTTGGATGATTATTTGGGTAAAAATAATGTGTAAGGTTATGGGGAGAGAACAGAAAATTGGCACTTGATAACGATGCTCCATGGGCTAAATGGCCTCCTTCAATGCCATAACAATTCTGTGATTCTGTGACTTTCCTAGCTATCATTGTGTTGCCTCCAAATTTAGCATTCTTTTGCTCCCCTCATCCAAGTCATTGGTGTAAATTGTAAAAATGTTGAAGCCCCAGCACAGTTCCCTGCAGGATTCCACTGGTCACATGCTGTCAATCAGATGAAGACCTATTTATGCACACTGCTTTTTGCCAGCCAGCCAATCTGTTATCCATGCTAAGATGTTACCCCCACACCACAAGCTTGTATTTACTGCAATAAATTTTGATGAGCACCTTATCAGATGCATGTTACTCCTTCAAAGCACTCCAATAAATTGATTAAACATGATTTCCCCTTCTTGAAACCATGCTGAATCTTCCTGATTATGTTGAGATTTTCTAAGTGTGTGGTTATAACTTCCTTAGTTATTCATTGTAACACATTTCCCATGTCAGATGGCCTCAAGCTAATTGGCCTAAAGTTTCCTATTTCCTGCTTAGCTTTCTTCTTGAACAGAGGCGTTATATTTGCTACTTTCTATACTGCCTTTCAGTGATATAATTGAAAGCATTTCATGGTCTTATGGACACCCAACTGGTACTGTCTGATCACCTCTCTCGACTCCTCCACTACTGCTGAATGTTTATCTGATATCCAGCACTAAATGAGCAATCATTTCCTCTGTTTAAAAATTGGGAAGACTGATTTTGGTTCCAAATTGTACTCTCTGGCTACCAATAATATCCCTCTCCCTGGCAAGAGGCTGACACAGTCCTTGTATGTTTGTATGCTTCTACCTAAAAATGAGTTTTCATGCTTACATATAAGCAATTTCTAAGGCCTAGGTAGCATCTCCTGATTTTGTCCCTTCTCAGCTCATATGCTACAAATCCCTCATTAGTGCCTTTGTACTTCTAGAATCTACTATTCCAGTACACTCCATCTCGTGCATTCTCCATAAATTGCAAAAACACTGTTACCCACTTCTTTACTTGCACCAAGTGCCTCTGCGTTCAGGAACAAGAACAGAAGTTGCTGGAAAAGACCAGTAGGTCTGGCAGCAGGTGTGAAGAAAGAAGCAGAGTTAACATTTCGGGACCAGTGACACTTCCTCAGAACTGATGGTAGCTGGGAAAATGTCGGTTTATATGCTGAAAAGAGGAAGGGGCATAGAAGTGAGCTGCGTGGGGCTGGGGGACTATCAGCTTGGAAGCAGTCCGGAGTTGGGGGGGTGGAGGAGCAGGTCACCAGATGATATGAGATCAGTTACCATAGTTGATACGCTGGCCTGAGATGTCATGGTCCATGGGAAGATAGGAGGAGGTATCTGAGAGCTGGCGCTGAGCCTCTGCAATGTAGAGGTCAGTACGCCAGACTTCAACAGGACCACCCTTATCGGCAGGTTTAATAATAAAGTCAGGGTTAGATCTAAGCGCACGAAGTGCAGTCAGTTCGAAGAGAGATAGTTGGATTTAGTGAGGGGGGTGGAGCAGAGAAATTGAGGCAACCAATATTATGTTGACAGTTCTCAATGAACAGATCGAGTGCAGGTAAAAGGCCAGAGGGAGGGGTCCGGGTGGAGGGAGAATGTTGAAAATGGGCGAAGGGGTCTGAGGAATGGGGAGAGGATTCTTGTGCAAAGAAATGGGCATAGAGGCGATGACAGCGTATAAACTGACGTTTTCCCAGCTACCAACAGTTCTGAGTAAGGGTAACCCGACCCGAAACGTGAACTGATTTATTCTTCACAGATGCTGCCAGCAACTTCTATTTTTGTTCCTGATTTACAGCATCCACAATTCTTTTGGTTTTTATTTGCTTCAGCGTTCACCTATCCTGCAGTCAATTCTCACTGGCTTAAATTGGCTTCCGGGCAAGCAATAAGACTATATGATGTTTAAGCAGAAGTAGGCCATTCAGCGAGATGGTGGCTGATCTGATTATCCTTAAATCTACTTTCCCGCATTTTCTCTTGACTCTCCTTTCCTTACCGATTAAAATTTGTCTATTTTGGCCTAGAATATACATAGTCATCCAGCCTCGAAAGTCCTCTGTGGTGAAGAATTCCACAGATTTACTACTCTCTGAAAGAAGAAATTCCGTTTTATCTCTGTCTTAAATGTGCAATCCCTTACTATTCTGAATTCATGCTCTTTGATCCTAGATTCTCCCATAATGTCTTGGTTTTAAAATTCTTGTCTTACTTTTCAAATCCCTCAGGAAAATAATGCCACAGAACAAATAGAGGAGAAAAACTGGAGATAAAGCCAATAAAATTTGTTTCTTTCACTGAATTTTCACTCTCAGATAATCCACAATAACACACTAAATATACATCTCACATATTTAAAAATGGTCAGAGCGAGACACTTAAAATCACACATTCCCAATAAATTTAATTTTTGACATATTTACACTTTAAAAAGGAATACTGCTCTCACAGTATGGGAAAGTAAAATCGTTTACAGCCTAAATTATATTGTTTATGAGACATTACTACACTATTTACAACATGAAGCTGTTGTGAGAGTCTCTGAGCAGCTTCTCCACTTTCTGGAGGGCGGACTCTTTGTTCTGGGGGGTGTGTTTGCAACCCGGACACTTGAAGCGGGGCCCGGAAGTGCCGGGTTGGTCCTCCTGAATGAGATTCCGGGTGGATTCGGGCTTAGTACCGTTCAGGCGATCCATGTTGGTAAGGAGCTGCTTGATGTGTCACTGGGTGGAGGTCCTGGGTCCTGACTCAGGGCTTCTGTGCCGGGAATTCTCAGCCGTGAACAGAGGGCGCAGGTTGAACCTAGAGCTTGGCCCGGCCCGGCCCGGCCTCCTTCACCCCCCCGGGGCCGCCGGCTGTTCACCTGAGGGTTTTCCTCGGCCTCTCTCTGAATGTCAGCAGCTACCGGGTCCTCACTGTTCAGCCTTGGTGCCGTATGTCCGAACCGACACCAGCCCCATTAACTGCAGCTTGTCCCCTCTCCCTTTGCGATCTTTTCAGTGTGAAAGGAGGGCACTGCAGTCTTGTCCTTGCAGCATGTCCGGACGTTTGTATTTCTAATGGGTGTCAATGACCTGCAGCAAAGGGCAGAATCTGCTGTGAGTGACACCTCTCTCGTTTCTGGATTCTGCCCTCACTTGTCGTCCTTTTACCAGGCCCTCCAGTTTGAGGTGGTACGAAGTAGCTTTAAGCTTCTTCCCTTCCGAAGAAGCGTCGCTGGACTCCAAGTGTTAACTCTCCACAGATCCTACCCGACCTGCTGAATTTTTCCAGCAATTTCTGTTTTTGTTAATGGTTTGCGTTGGTTTGGACTAGCTGTCGGTTACATTTACTAATGACACATCCAAATTATGCCAATCCCTTTTACTGTTATCAACAAATACACTCTCAATTTTTTTTTCGCTTTGTCTGAATTTCTATAACATTTAGGCAATTTTAGTCTTCTGCTTTAATATCTCTGATCATTGATAAGTGAGTCAAATTGTTTTGTGAAAGTATTGATTGGCATCAACTTTTTTTCCCCATTTTATATCTGCTCTTTCTTTATCTTTAGGACATTGCCTCAAATACTCAGAACAGAACAAGAACCAATTCTTTTGTGGTGCATAAGATTCAGGAAACGTGTGTAAACCAGCAACACTTCTTTCTACTGTTAACCTTGTACTTCCAAATCAACCTGACTGTCTGGCCACTACTCACTCCAAGCATCAGTGATTGGAAGTTTTCTGCCATGACCCAACTTTTCAATTTGGAAGGTGGACCGCCACTTTAATTTCATCTTGTAAGATTAGGTTCTTTTCAATTAAACTTTCTCTCAAATATTTCACAGGCCACAAAAAGGTTTTTTTAAAATCCATATTTATGCATATAATTGTACAATGTACTTGTCAGAAAAATAATTTAACACTAAGAATGCTTGAATGTTTGTGGGCTTAACAGGCTGTATAATTTGAAGCACGGTTGAGACCAAATAATTTGATGATCGGTACTGTTATGCATATAAATGATTTGGACGTAGACCCATAACCAACAACCCAACAAATGACCCACTAAAATTCTGTCTCTGTTGTTCAATTGCTCTTCAGGGTTTGAAGAATAATCTAAGACATTCTTTCAGTGCAATATTGATGAGCTGTATTGTCCTTTACGTTTCAGCTATGCAGTCTTACAGCTAAGTCTAATTGATGATCAGTTATAGGTGTGTGGCGCTATGGCTAGCCTTTCACTTCTAGCACTTGGGGTCAAATTCAATCCAGTATCACTTGTGCCATAAGTTTAATCAGCCTCCATTTTTAATTGCCATCCAGAATAAAGCTGCTAATGTGGGAAAGAAAATCTATGACTAAGAATTACTGTTGAGACAGTGTGGAGTGTGGCTTTGATCTGGTTTGATTGTGCTTAATCTTGGAGTCTGTAATGCTGTTAATATGTTGGAAAAGTTCCCAGCAAACTTTATTTGTTAATGGAAATCTTAATGCATTGATCACATATAAAATATATAATCAGAGAAATTTGTACCACAGCAGGAGGTCATTTGGGCCACCAGTTATCCAAGTTCTTTGAAGGGGTAATTGTGCTTTTGCCCTGTGGGGAAAAAGATTGCTAATTATATGACTAAAAACTGCATCTGCAACTAATGGGAGTATTTCTTGCTGCACTTAAAGCTGACATAAAATATAACTTTATTGATCAGAACTTCTGTTGCTTTTACCATGGTGGCACAGTGGTTTGGAGCGGCACAGTGGTTAGCACTGCTGCCTCACAGCGCCAGGGACCTGAGTTCAGTTCCACTGTCTGTGTGGAGTTTGCACATTCTCCCCATATCTGTGGGGGTTTCCTCAGGGTGTTCGTTTTCTCCCACAGTCCAAAAATGTGCAGGCTAGGTGGATTGGCCATGCTAAATTGCCCATAGTGTTCAGGGATGCATAGATTAGGTGCGCTATCGGGGGTGGGTCTGGGTGAGATGCTGTGAGGGTTGGTGTGGACTTGTTGGGCCAAAGGGCCTGTTTCCACACTGTAGGGATTCCATGATCAAGATTCCTTTTTCAGATAGGAATTGCTTCGTTATTTTGAATTTGGATGTATGGATAATACGGAATTCTCTATCGGAGTTTGAGTTAATGTCAGCTTTAACTTTAGAATTGGAAGTATAATGACCGCTTGTGAAAATGTTCTGTTTTGTTTCAATTTATGAAGAAAAATTGTGTGCTGAACATTTTATACCACATCAGAATTCGATGCACATGAGAGCTGAATACATTGAAGGAAAATTGATATATTTTACTAGAAATGATATGGACTAAGCAGGACTGCTTTTTGACACGTACCAGTATTAGTTGCTTAACAAAATTAAAAATATTACATGAAAAGACTTTTGAAAATATTTTGAAACAGAAACAGCAAGAACAAAGAAGGCTCGAAAAATCAGTGAAGGAGCATTTCAAATCATCTAGAAGTGAGGTCAGAGATCTACATAGCTGATGGACTAAAAAAGTAAAAGTGATTAAAGGTAAACAAAGGAACTAGTAGCCTTATCAGGAGAAATAAAATTAACACGTCTTCGAACTATAAAAGCAATGAGGTGCAATCAGAAATTGGGAAGGTGAAGTTCATATTCAAAATACAGAACAAAGGTGATGGGCAAAATGTGTTCAGGTAAAATGTTGTAAGAAGAAAGATGTTGTTAAACCCACAAGGATCAGAAAAGATTTACAAGGATGTTGCTGGGGTTGGAGGGTTTTAGCTGTAGGGAGAGGCTGAATAGGCTGGGGCCATTTTCCCTGGACCATCGGAGGCTGAGGGGTGACCTTATAGAGGTGTATAAAATCATGAAGGGCATGATAGAGTGTATGACCAAGATCTTTTTGCGTGCGCGCGCTCTCTCTTTCTCTCTCTCTCTCTCTCTGTCGTTCCCCCTCCAGCTGTCTCACCAGTTAGCTATTGCTGTACCAAATATATCTTGGCAGCAGAATTTACCATGTTGTTCTGACATAGGAATTATGAGAATTTGCAGTAGTATTTATCTTGAAGATAATTTCAGCCACTAAATTTTCCTTCCTTGGTTTCTAACAGGTTTCTTTCAGTATCTGATTAAGGCTCACTTCAAAATTTGGACTCTGCTAAGATTTTTGTGCATTTTGGTGAAATTTGTGGCTAGTTTTATTGGTTTCAATCCCAGTCAAACCCCCAACTTCTGTCACAAGCAAGGAGAGCTGAACTTAATTATTTTTACTCTTTTTCTCTTCAGTTGATAATGGAGGTGGCTTTTACTTTTCTTATTTTTCCTTTGCAGTTTTAAAAATATATCATCATGTGTTTCCCTGAACCCTGTTAGCAACATCCAATGTAAAATGACTCATAGCAAATTTTTTAGGGTAAGAGCAAAGTTAATGTTAGGGCCCTGAGGAGTTTTGTCGAACAGAGAGATCTAGGAGTGCAAGTACATAGCTCCTTGAAAGTGACATCACTGGTAGACAGAGTGGTGGTGAAGGCGTTTGGCATGCTTGCCTTCATCAGTCAGACCATTGAGTACAGGAGTTGGAACTTGATGTTACAGCTGTACAAGACATTAGTAAGGCCACATTTGGAGTACTATGTACAATTCTGCTTGCCCTGCTTTCAGAAGGATGTTATTAAACTGGAAAGGGTTCAAAAAAGATTTACAAGAATGTTACCAAGACTGGAAGGTTTGAGTTTGAAGGAGAGGCTGGGACTTTTTCCCTCGAGCCGTGGAGGCTGAGGGGTGGCGTTATAGATGTTTATGAAATCAAGAAGGGTGTGGATAGGGTGAATAGCCAAGGTCTTTTTCCCAGGGTAGGGGAGTCTAAAACTAGAGGGAATAGGTTTAAGGTGAGAGGAGAAAGATTTACAAGAAACCTGAGGGGCAACTTTTTCACACAGCGGGTGGTGCATATATGGAACAATCTGCCAGAGGAAGTGGTAGCAGCACGTATAATTACATTTAAAAGACATTTGGACAGAAAAGGTTTAGAGGGATATGGGCCAAATGCAGGTAAATGAGACTAGTTAATTTTAGGAAACCTGGTCAGTATGGACAAGTTGGGCTGAGTGGTCTGTTTCTGTGCTGTATGACTCTAAAGTTATGTTTATTATTGCATTAAAAACTTGGGTTGGTTTGCAGTATCTCTCACATTGTCTCTTTCTCTCTCATACACACCTGCAATGCAGAACGAACAGAATAAGGAAGGGTGGGAAATTACAAATTAATTAAAGTCAAAGATATTTAAATTGGCTAACGTGAATTTGAGAGTCCAGTACATTTGATATCTAGTGGAGGTTATTTCAGTTGACTATACAAAATAAGTCCCTTTCATAGGAGCATAGATACAGTCAAATGGCTGGTTAAGATGCAGTAATTGTAAGCTGGAAATTGGTCTATTTTAAATGGGAAATACAGGATTCTTTGCAGAAATTAGGCTTTTCATATAAACTTCGATCAGAGGCAGGTATGAGCTAAGTTTGGAGCTGCTTGCCATTTTGGTGTTAGACTAAGAAAGAAGATAAAGGCAATTTAAACAAACTAGTTTCATTTACATGCTTGGAGCTTCCGCCTTAGTCACACAACTAAGAACGTGGGTTTTGATGTTCCGTCAAAACCTTTTATGGTTTGTAACAGAATCTGTGGAGTCATTAGCACAAAGTCGAGTGTAAATGCATTTTCGCGGTTTCCTTTGCTGTGAGCATTCATTCATGGGATGAGGGCGTTGCCAGCTAGGCCAGCATTTATTGCCCATCCCTAATTGCCCAGAGGGCAGTTAAGAGTTAAGCTGTGAGGTTGCTGTGGGTCTGGAGTCGCATGTAGGTCAGACCAGGTATGGATGGCAGTTTCCTTCCCTAAAGGACATTAGTGAACCAGGTGGGTTTTTTTCCAATAATTGACGATGCATTCATGATCATCATTAGACTCTTTAATTTCAGATTTTTATTGAATTTCAATTCCCGCCATGGCAGGATTCGAACCTGGGTCACCAGAACGTTACCTAGGTTTCTGGGTTATGTGTACGGTGATAATACCATTAGGCCTTTGCCTCCCCCTCAAATGCTTACACAAGTGTTTCAAATGGGATTCCTTTACAATGCAAGGAGATGAATTCATTTTTGTCAGATACGTACTGGAAATTTCTAGAGGCAGCCATCTTTGTGGGGTCATTATTTTTTTAAATAACAATCGTACATATAATGTACTAAAGTTTGCATTCTCTCAGTTCATGACATAGCTAAAATAGATTTATCTGAGTGACCTAATTGTAAATAAGTACGGTTAGAAGACATTTTCAATCATGTCCTAGTTTCTTTGGTGTACAATTGTCAGTTTCTGACTTAACTCAGTGCTGATTTGTAGCCTTGCACCTTTGAAGGATTGCGAAAGGGCCCATTAGCAGAAACTGGCACAACCAGTAGGAATTCCTGGCCTTCGAGAATATTTTTGTTGCCTTGACATTGCTGTTGTCAATGAGCTTAAACAAGCCTAGGGCACATAGGAAATCAAGAAGAAATTGATTCTGGGTCCTCTGCCTATCAGTGCAAGTAAGCTGTTTAGAAAATTTGCAATATTTGCTTAAGAAGCAACCGCTTTATCTGTCTCTTTTTACCTTCCCATTCCCCCCTAAATCTTCATATTTTTTCAGTTATTTAAATCACTTGATACAGGGTGTCCATAAAGTTGAAAGGTCAAGACATGAAAGATGGAGGGTAACTAGTCTGCTGGTGGAAGGGCCAGGAACCAGACAACTTGATTTAAGGTGAATTCTGAAAGAACCAAAGGTGACAGGAAGAAAAGTTGTTTTTTTTCTCAGTGACAGGGTTTTGGGCAAGAGACAATTTTCTTTTTGAAAGCTTCAGGACTGGATGTTTGTTTGGTTTTGCTTGATAATTATTCTCCAGTTATCAATGTTTTGAAAGTTCTGAAGGAAGAATCCTAGTCTGTAAGCAATAAGTAAAAGTTTCCAGAGGTCTGTGGAAGACATTTGCATTGACCAGTGACTTCGAAATTTAAACAAGACATACAGTCCTTTGTGCCTTTAATTTAACTCATCATCCAATTTCGTGAAGGTCCGGTATTCATCTTTAAAATGGAAAATTAATTTTTATTCTCTTTTTTTTTTAATTTGTCTCTTAACTGTGTGCACCAATGGAGGTTTATGATCAAAGAAGTTTGAACTTAGATGTTAGATTGCCTTGTTGCTTATGTGTTCAGCTAAAGTTACATTATTAATAAAGTGTAATAACCTTGTTATTTGTAAAATCTGGTTAGGAGCAATTGAACAATTTTGAAGGTTATTGAATGTTTTAGTTTCACTGTACTGCAAATCCAGTGATTCCTTTCCCCTTTTTGAAGCTGGCATTTGTGTATTTTTAGTGCCCCCAGGAGGTCACCGTACTTCTGCCATGTGGGAATGATCTCACCCGTATACACCAGACATCAGGAATGTCAGTTAGATTTTCTTGATTATTCAGTCTTTTCCTTCCCTTCATTTCTCCAAGTGCATAGGTAGGTTATAATGGTCAATGCTGGACCTCAAAGGCAGGGTTGAAAATACAAATTCAGTGATGCATCTGCCATTGAATCACAACACTTGGTGTGTTAGAAATGGTAGTCCTAACTATATACACAGACTTGACTGAATAAAGAAAATGGTGTTGCTCGGGTAGGAGGGTTTGAGCTATAAGGAGAGTCTGAATAGACTGGGGCTATTTTCCCTGGAGTGTCAGAGGCTGAGGTGTGACCTGATTGAGGTTTATAAAATCGTGAGGGGCATGGATAGGGTAAATAGACAACGTTTTTTCCCTGGGGTGGGGAGTCCTAAACTAGAGGGCATAGGTTTAAGGTGAGGGGGAAAAATTTAAAAGGGACCTAAGGGGCAACTTTTTCACGCAGAAGGTGGTGCGTGTATGGAATGAGCTGCCAGAAGAAGTGGTGGAGGCTGGTACAATTACAACATTTAAAAGACACCTTGATGGTTATATGAGTAGGAAGGGTTTAGTGGGATATGGACCAAATGCTGGCAAATGGGACTAGATATATTTAGAATATCTGGTCAGCATGGACGAGTTGGACCAAAGGGTCTGTTTCCATGCTGCATATCTTTATGACTCTATGAAGACTGAAGTAGTGTGGAAAATTGTTCAGGGTATTTGCTGAGTTAATGTTACTTATGAGTGTAACACTGATAGCTTGTTCACTATTCTGTTACTACTTTGTGTTTTAATCAGACTGCTTTTGATTAATTGATATTGCATTCTGTATAAAAGTCCAGTTTTTAAATTTAAATTTTTATTTCTAACTTTGTTTTTTTTTTCTGGTACATTACAACTTATTCAGTTATACTGAGAATAAACTGGACATCAGCTTTGTGCTGCATGGATATTGTGCTTTATGATGTAACAACATTTGATTCTTTGAAGATTTACATCACAAAGCATGACCTCCAAAATATCAAGATGGTTTTATTAATTGGGCAGAAACATTTTCATTTCTTTGAATGTAAATCCACTGTTTTTAATGGGAACTGACTTTGTTATGCGCATCTTTTTTCTTTCTTTACTTACTTTCAACTTTGGCAAAACTAGCACTTAACGTACACTTGAAAATAAAAATGGAATTGTTATCTTGCTCTCTAGATCTGGATGAATTAAATGAGATCACTTTGTAAACCTGTGTTGCTCTAGGTAATAACCTGAATTGAGTATTTAACTCTGTGTGATGCTGTGTAACCCTTAATTACTGCTAATAGAGATTGCATATTTTTAATTCTAGATTGTATAAGAATTGCATGCATGCTATTCGTGCATATGCATCATTTTGATCCTACTCTTGTTTTCTATGAACTTGATTATCCTGCCGAACCAGTTGTCTTATTTTGACCTTTTGGTGGAATACCATGTATTAGGAAAGTTACTTAATTAGCATCACATCCCTTGCCAATCCTTGTAAAAGATGATGGTATATTTAAGAAAAATATGTTCAGTAGATATTACCAGTAAGTGAAAATCGAAACAACGTATAGTAATCTAATTCTTAGGAAAAGGAAGCCTAAGGCAGCTGAAATGAAATGTTCACTATTCTAATTTTACTTTTATGTATGTTCCAACTTCCTTAGAATTATTTTGTCATCACTGTAAATATAGCTACTTTACACCATTTCATGTATTTCAGTTGCTTACCACTAGCAAGATGGTGTGTCTTAATACAGCTAATAATGAAGCAAATCATGTCAAACAGCAATCTTTGGATCTTTGCATTTAAACACACATCTGCCATTCCCCAGACGTTGCAGTATTTTATGCGTGGATAAGCGTCAGTGCCATTAGAATCACATCTCTTTCACAGCAAATTCAAGAACTCCAACTTTTGATTGATAGATTCTAGCCTATGTGGTACTTAATGTTAGTGTTTACTTACGTAGCTAACTAATGATTCTTATGTGAATCAGACTTTTAAGAAGTAGTAACTGATGAGTGGTCTGTATTGTTGGCAAGATCTAACTCATTTTGAATAAATAAGAACTTTTTACTTATAGTGCATTGCATTAGTATGTAAGAATGACAAGTGCAACAGCTTTTAAGTTGTCCTTATTACGATGAGCCCATTGTATTTATATAGCACTGATGCTTATTTTTCTTTGTTTCATTCTACCTGTAGCTTTCTGGCAAACACTCTGAAGCGCTATTGGTATTAAAATGAAGTTCTCCGCACAAAGACTATACTCATTGTCACGAACCATTCACCACCTGAATACACCGTGCATTAATTCTCGCAGGCTACACTGGAATTCTGCAGCTCGGCCATACTCCACTTTCAAGAGATTTTCACTGAGGACAGCCAAGCCACTTGCTTTGAAAGTTGAATACTATCCTTATAGAAATTTCATTCTAGCTAGATTGGCAACGCGACTGTTAAAAATTCGCTATCTTGTACTGGGATCAGCAGTAGGCGGTGGTTATACAGCAAAGAAGGTATGTCAGGAACCTACAGTACAAAATATAAATGAAAATGCTAAGAAAATAAGAAAGACCTAATGCGAAGGACGGTATTTTCCTGAACTTATCAGGAGTTATTTATGTGATTCTGCTTCTTACTTCAAAGATACGGCAAAATCTGAAGATTAAATTTAATTGGTGGATGTATTATTGATTATATAAAGACATATAAATTATTTGATAATTCTTAGTAATTGTTAAATATGTCTTAATTTCTTTAATACTTTGCTTGTTTGTTTTCTTCTGACCTGAATATTTGCAACTTTTCTATCAGAAGGATGTTGTGAAGCTTGAAAGGGTTCAGAAAAAAATTTACAACGTTGTTGCCAGGGCTGGAGAGTTTGAGCTATAGGGAGAAGCTGAACAGGCTGGGGCTATTTGCCCTGGAGTGTCGCAGGCTGAGGGGTGACATTATAGACATTTATAAAATCATGTGGGGCATGGATAGGGTGAACCGACAAGGTCCTTTCTATGAGGTGGGGGAGTCCAAAACTAGAGGGCGTAGGTTTAAGGTGAGATGGGAATGATTTAAAAGACACCTAAGGGGCAACTCTTTCGCACAGTGCATGTATGGAATGAGCTGCCAGAGGAAGTGGTGGAGGCTGGGTCACTTGGCAACATTTAAAAGGCATCTGGATGGGTATATGAATAGGAAGGGTTTAGGGGAAAATGGGCCAAATGCTGGCAAATGGGACTAGATTTATTTAGGATATCTCGTCGACATAGACGAGTTGGACTGAAGTGTCTGTTTCCATGCTGTACAGCTCAATGACTCTAAGGAAGTTTCTTGTGCATTTTCATTTGTTAGACATATGACCAATGGAAGGAAATGATGCCAGATCTAACAGCATACAAGTGGATAATTCCAGATTTTATCTGGGAGCTGGATGAACATATTAACTTTGGTGAGCTGGTTTTAATGTGGTTATACAGTAAATCTTCAGTATCCGCGAAATTCAGAATCGCAAATTTGCCTATCTTTGCCAAAAAATAAGTGTCAACAAAATTCAACATCCATGGGCAAAACTTGCATATCCTCGACTTTTAACTTAATTTTAAATGAGCTTCCCATTCACGAATTTCATCATTCGTGGGGTTTCTCAGGAGCGGAACCCTTGCAAAAATGGAGGAATGCCTGCATATTCAAAAGTATTATAGATATAATATTTGTTCAAAATACGTTCATCTATAATAAAGTTGTTTTGCGTGTTATTTTTGGCTTATTAAGTCTGAACTGCCGAAAATGCTATACTACCTACACTAGTCCAACCTTCCTGCACTAGGCCCAAAGCCTTGAATGTTATGATACTTCAAGTGCTCATCCACGTACTTTTTGAAGGTTCTGACATTTCCTGCCTCTACTACCCTCCCAGGCAGTGCATTCCAGTCCCCCATCACACTCTGGGTGAAAAAGTTTTTTCTCAGTTTCCATCTAAACCTCCCTGTTATTGACATTTCAACTGAGGCGAACGGTTGTTTTCTATTCAAATTGCCCATGCCCCTCACGATCTTGTACACCTCTATCAGATACCGCCCCCTCTAATTTCTCTGCTTTAAAGAAAATAACCCAAGCTTATCGAACCTGTCTTTGTAGCTAAAATGCTCCATCCCAAGCTACATCCTGGTGTATCTCCTTTGCACCCTCTCCAGTGCAGTCACATCCTACTGTATAGTGACCAGAACCACGCACAGTACTCCAGCTGTGGTCTAATTAGAGTTCTGAACGGCCCCAACTTGACCTCCTTGCTGTTATAATCTGTGCCGTGATTAATAAAGGTAAGTGTCCCGTTTGCTTTCTTAACACCCGTCCTTAACTACCTGTCCTGCCACTTTGTAGGATCTGTGGACCAGCACCCCAAGATGCCTCCGTTCCTATGAGGCTCCTCGTTTTCTGCCATTCATTGAGTACTCCCTTGTCATCTTCTTCCAAAGTGCATCACGTCATATTTCAGGGTGAAATTCCATCTGCCACTGCTCTGTCCATCTGAGCAACCTGTTTATATCCTCCTGTAACCTAACACCTTCCTCCTTACTGTCAAATACCTATGTGTCACCTACTCATATCCTCCAGCATTCTCATTTACGTCATACTACAAACAATAAGGGACCCAGTACTGTTCCCTGCATGGATAGAAAAGTATGTTTGAAAATTGGACCTGGATTTTGTATTGAGAATAATTGCAAAACTACCAACATTTGCACAATACAGTTAAAGATGAGTTTAGAAATTGATGTCCATAATTTTATGCGTTAGAGAGTGTGACTCTGAATATTGTACCATCAGAATGCAATCAATTAAAAATTATTGAACTGACAAACTTCATTCTTTTAGGAGTCTTTAAAGGTCTAAAAGCCTTTGAAAGCTTAGTTTGAGGGATCAGATGTTACTGAGATTTTAATGGTATACTAGGTTCAGGTTCACTACCACAAGCCTTTCTAGTTCTGATTCGAGTTATTATATAAATATTGAATGCCAAATACCATATCATCTTCAGAAATTTTGCTTTTTAAAAATACTTTGTGTTTTAGCTTCTACCTCTATTCCAAGGTTATCCCCTAATCATTTATTTAGCTATCTGTCAAACATTTAAGTTAATGTGAAGGGATTCAGTTTTAACCTGCTGTCTTGCTAGGTATTCGAATACTCTAATATTATTGGCTGCTTCCTACATTTGGTGACATTGTTGTTGTTGGACAGCTAGAGATCCCTTTGACTTCTAGTTAGTTTGAAACTGTGTTGCGAAGAGAGAAGTCTGTGCCATAAAATTTGAGGGCAGCAGCAAGTGCTGTTGTTTCACTGCTGACTGCAAAATCTAGCCCATTAAGATATGTACTTAAATATTTACTGTAAAACAGGTGATTAGGTAATTGTTTTGGACGGCATGCCATTTTTCAACTCAGCCTTAAGATAATCCATGTCATAATTTTTAGGCTTTTTCGTTTATGGAAGAAATGGAGACTTACAATTTAGTTCAATATTAATTATTGAAGCGTACAGACTTTAGAAATTATTTTACAAGTTTAGAAAGGAAACATTTAGAATATGTGTAGTTTAGAGGAAAGCTGCCTGAATTTCTCAGTAAAAATGAGGCCTCCGTTCTCTCCCCTTCCCCACTTCAACTGTGGTTTTGCAATGTTAGCATTCATTTCAAGAAGGCTGGAATACAACAGTAAAAATGTACTTCTGAGGCTGTATAAGGCTGCGGTCAGACTGCATTTGGAATATTGTGAGCAGTTTTGGGCCCTGTATCTCATGAATGATGTGCTGATGTTGGAGGAGGTTTGAGGAGGTTTACAAGGCTGATCCTGGGGTTGAAGGGGTTTGAGGTGTGGTTGAGGAATATGGACTGTACTCAATGGAATTTAGAAGGATGAGGAGGGATCTAATTGAAACTTACAAAATGCTGAGAAGCCTGGATAGAGTGGAGAGAAGATGTTTCCACTTGTAGGAGCAATTGGGACCAAGGGCCATCGTCGGAATGAAGGAACTAAGATGAATAATTTTTTCAGCCAGAGGGTAGGTAATCCCTGGAACTCATTGCTGCAGACGTCTTTGGAGGCCAAGTCATTGAGTGTCTTTAAGACAGAGATAGGTTCTTGATTGGTAAGGGGATTAAGGGTTATGTGAAGAAGGCAGGAGAATAGGTTGAGAAACGTATCAGCCATGATCGACTAGTGGAGCAAACTTAATGGTCCGAATCGCCTAATTCTGTTCCAATGTTTTATAGTCTAAGAAACTAAGTGGCTCATTTCCTGGAAGAAAAGCCTAGATCTAGGGATCGTGGTCTCAGGATAAGGAGTTGGCCGTTTTCATTTGAGATGAGGATAAATTTCTTCAGTTGGAAAATTGTCAATCTTCAGAATTCTGTACTCTAGTAGCTGGATTTTCAATCATTTGAGTATATTCAATAGATTTTAGAGCATTAAGGAAAGCAAGCGACATGGTAGTGATTTGGGAAGGTACGGTTAATGTGGAAGATTAGCCATGATCTTATTGAATGAAACATAGACCCATACAACTAATTGTTTATTATATTCCCGCAACTGCTTCTGCCTGAAGGCAATAGTGAATACCAATATAAAATGTGTGTTTTAATACGTTTTAACTTTATTTTTAGAAAAATTTAGGGAAATGTTCTCTGATGCAGAACTTGCTAAATTGCTGCCTGATTTCGACAAGGTTGGAGAAAGCCTGAATCAGCTCAAAAGTCTGCTATCTCCAGGTTGGTATCTGCTTTGGATATATTATGAGAGCTATGTGAAAAGGCTTTGAAGGTGATGAGTTATCCTGTTGCTTGACATGGCATTTTTTAATACATTATGCTGTGGGAACCTTCTGATAAGTTGCAAATCTTAGTTACTATTGTAAATAGATGTATATTCAGCTCAGGCCTTTGAAAAATATTTCACAAATAGACGCAAGGTACCTTTGAAAAAGATAATTATCTTTGCAGGTTATAACCAAAATACCAACTGAAAATGCACATCCTCATTCCAAAAGTACTGGAAAATGCAACCTGTTTCAGTGCAGCAGCAACATATGCACTGTTTTTCAAAAACCAAGATTATCAGATTTTGAACTTGAAAAAATAATCGTGGAGGAGCATGTGTGAGAGCAGAATCTGCAACTAACTATATCCACCCAATTATTTACACAAGTTATGTAAGTGGCATTCATTTTGAATATATGAACTAATTGCTTAAAAATTCCAACTCAGTTTGGATTCTGAGCAACTTTTTTGAAGCATCCCCTGTTCTCATGGCAAATAAACTTTGTTGTTTCAGATTAAAACTCAAGCTTGCGTTAAATCCACAAATGATTTACCTACTGTCCAAAATATTAAACAAAATGCTAAGTCTAATATGGGCACGTGTGAACTGTACTTTTCTTAATACAAAAGTAAGCATTGTTTAAGTGATGAATCAATCCTAGTTTAAGTAAGCGACCACTTACCCAGACCTCGAGTATTCCTGTACCCAATATCCACCAAACTGCTAATCGCCTATTGCTTGTCTTATTTCCAGTGCTTACTGACCAACTAGTTTCCTGTCCTCAGCTGCTTCCCCACAACTTTGAAAGCTGTTTCATCACCTCTTGCTCAAAAGGAGGAATTTCATTTTTTCCATTCTCATTGAAGCAAAGCATCTTCAGAATAGCTTCTATTTCCATCTTATAATCATCATCACCAAACGTACCCTGAGAATCTATCCTTGGGCTACTTCCTCATTACATGCCGTCCTTACTAATAACAGAGGGTTAGCTTCCATACGTATCCCCGTTCGCAACTTGGATCATCTTTCCGTTACTTTGTGTTATTACACTGCCCTACATGCAAGCTCAAATAAGCTGTAGTTTGTTTTCACCAAATACCAGGAAGACCACAGCCAATAGTTGCAACCAAACTCTTTGTCTTAGCCACTGATTCCATCTCCACACCCTACGACTGTCTGAGGTTGAACCAGGCTATTTACATCCATGACATTCAATTTCGTGCCAAGCTGAGACTTCAACCCCGTATCACTGTCTCAAAGATTAAATACACCTCCCTGATGTGGCCCATATGCTACCCTGCTTGAGTTCGTATACTTCTGCAACCCTCATCACTGCCTTTGTCACTTTAAAACTTGACTATTCCATAAGGCTGGTGGCTGCCTGTCACCACTGTATTTTGTAAACTTCAAGTCATCTAACACTCTGCCATTTTTATCCAATCCTCAAGCAATTCTGTGCCTGCTTTACACTTGCTTAGTCCCCCAATTAAAATTATTATCCTAGTATTTAAATTTGCTCATTTCCTCCTCCTTCAATCTCTGTAACTCTTCCAGCCCAGCAATTCCTACTCAGAACTCAACATTCTTCTGTCTGTTTCCCCTTCTGCGTTCCCTCTGCTTTTTCCCTTCACCATGGGAATCCATGTCTTCAGCTGCCTATGGCTCCATGCTTTGGAATTCCTTTTTTTTAAGCTCTGTCTCTAATCGCGCTCTGTTCCTTTTGAGACCTGACCTTTATGTTCGGACCTCTGGTCATCCTTGTTGAGATCTCTTCTTTGCTTGGCAGATATTGTTTTCTGATTGTGCTTCTGTGGTATTGTATGTTTTTGTTCTGCATTGCTTTATAAATGTGAGTCGTTAACATATAACTGCATTTCTGGCTGTGTCACGACTCAGTAGAGACAGTGTAGTGTAACTAAAATCATTTCCTGAGATGTCATAAATATGAAAATTTGACTAAACCACCAATTTGTTCAATTCTATCCAACTCCCTAATTTGGGTTAAAAGCATATTAGATTTTTTTTCCCAATTGTGAAGAAATAACTTTTTTTTATTGTAATCCATTTGTTTTTAACTAATATCAAAAAGTAGACCAGATTAATTGTTAATCTATAACTGTCACTTAAACAAGAACAGTAAACAGTCAACAATTTAATTTATGTAACACAAACTACCTCTTTTAAAACTGCTGCTCACAAAAAGATAAACAAACATGCATAGCACAAATTGAGGGGGAAGAAAAGTAATCGTCAGATGACCACAGTTCAGTTTTACCAGTCCAAAATCACAAAACTAGATGAATTTATTCCATAGTTCTTTTCCTTTCTTCGATGCAGTTTGCACAACGATGATCAGTATTCAGATCACTGGCTGCTTGATTGGACCCTGGGGGCTTTAGAATTTTTCCTTTCAGCTGTATATAGTTTGTCCCTGCTCTCTCGATAGTGAATTGGAGGGGGTAGTTTTTTAGAGCAAGGGACCATGGAGAGAAATATGTTGATG